AAAAAAAAAACACAAATAAAATAAAACGCCAGCCGGCTAGGGAGGAGCGGGTTTGTGTGTGTGTGTGTGTGTGTGTGTGTGTGTGTGTAGGAGAGATATTTAGCTGCAGCAGAAATGGGGGATTCCCCTTCCAGCTTAAGCTCGCTTTGATTCAAAAGCAGCAGGAACTGTTATTACGGCAACAATAGCAGAAGCATTAAAAAAAAAAAGAACCCTTGAATGCGGCTTTTGGCCCAGAACAGGAAGAGAAGAGGGGATATATAACTTTGCAGGTTATTAATTTGTAAATAGATCAAAGCTGGCTTGTCAGGCAGAGCTTGGAACTGACTGAAAACGTGGTTTCCAACAACCGCCCCGCTCAATGGGAAGGGTCAGGTCGTCCTTGAGTTACGACCGTAACTGAGCCCTGTACGACTGCCACAGAGCCTTACATGTCTGGGTGCTAAACATTGGATCGGTGAGCTGGGCCTCGTTTTACGACGTTTCCTGCCGCCGTTGGATGAGTAACTCGGTTGTTAAGGGAAACTGGCTTCCCCATCGAGTCAACTGGTCAGAAGGCCGTAAAAGGAGATCAGTGCAACCGTGATAAGAATGAGTCAGTTGTCAAGTGTCTGAATTTTGATCACGTGACTATGGGGTGTGTGTGTGTTCCTGTGTTCGTAAGTGTGAAAAACGGTCCTAAGTCACTTTTTTTTCCCAGTGCCGTTGGAATTTCAAACAGTTGTAAGTTGAGGGCAACCTGTAGTTCTTGAGTTACGACTGTAATTGAGCCCTGTCATTACAATCGCAAGTTCTGACGGTCATACAGCCTGACCGCAACTGATTTTACAAATCCTTTTTGAAGAGCGTGTAAAGTTGAATGCAACGGCTGTTAAGGAAGCCCGCTGTTTACTCGGGGGTGACTTTGGTCAGAAATCCAAAGTATTTGCCAGCTTCCAGCAGAAATCATGATTGTACAATCATGGGGGTGGGGCTGCAAACAACTACAAAATGCGAGCGGGTTGCCGAGTGACCAAAATGCAGTTGTATGACCGTGGTTGTGTGTTTCTCCCAGATGTTGGAACTATTTGTAAGAAACTTTAGGGCAGGGGTTTCCAACTTTGGCAACGAAAGAAAGAAAGAAAGAAAGAAAGAAGGAAGGAAGGAAGGAAGGAAGGAAGGAAGGAAGGAAGGAAGGAAGGAAGGAAGGAAGGAAGGAAGAAAGAAAGGAAGAAAGGAAGAAAGAATATAGATAGATAGAAAGAATATAGATAGAAAGAGATAGAAAGAATATAGATAGAAAGAAAGGAGAAAGAAAGAATATAGATAGAAAAAAAGAATATAGATAGAAAGAATATAGATAGAAAGAACACAGAAAAAAATAGAAAGAATATAAATAGAAAAAAGAATATAGATAAAAAGAATATAGATAGAAAGAAAGAATATAGATAGAAAGAAAGAATAAAGATAGAAAGAAAATAGAAAGAGAAAGAAAGAAAGATAGTAGATAGTTATATAGAAAGAAAGAAAGAATACAGATGGATAGAAAGAAAGAAAATAGATAGAAAGAAAGAATATAGAATTTTGGGAGTTGAAGTCCGCCAGGCTTAAAGTTGCCACGGTTGAAGAGCCCTGCTTTAGGGCATTCATCGTAACTTCAAACAGATACAGTGATCAGTCGTAAGTCGAGGATTACCTGTGCAGGAAGACCTTGAATTACAACTATTCATTGATTGACCATTAAAGTTACAACACCATTGAAAAAAGGGACTTGTGACCATTTTTCACACTTTATGACCATTTGCAACATCTCCAGGTCACGTGACCAACATTTGGCCACTTGGCAACTGGCTTGTATTTGTGGTGGGGGTGATCCCCTTGGGTGACCTTCTAACCAGCAAAGCCAACGGGGAAGGCAGATTCACTTAACGACGGTGTTACTAACTTAATTGCAGTGATTCGCTTAATAACTGTGACAAGAAAGGTTGTAAGGTGGGACAAAACCCACTTAACAACCGAAATGCTGGGCTCAGTTGGGGTCCTAAGTTGCGAACTACCTGTATTGAAGATATTGAAGGTATACAATAGTCAGAAAAAATGGGGTGCATATGACCCTCACCCCACAGCCCAATTACAGGTAGTCCTTGGCTTACGACTACAACTGGGACGGTCATAGGTATGAGGACCTATCATAAGTTGCTTTTTCAGTGCCATTAAAACTTGGTATGGTCACTAAACGAATGGTTGTAAGTCAAGGACTAACCGTACAGCTAATGTATCAAGCTAAAAGCACAATTACAATTCAATTTCTCTGCAGAATTTTGCCTATGAGGCCTTGGACCCTGAATCTTTTCAGAAAGAAAGAAAGAAAGAAAGAAAGAAAGAAAGAAAGAAAGAAAGAAAGAAAGAAAGAAAGAAAGAAAGAAAGAAAGAAAGAAAGAAAGAAAGAAAGAAAAGGAAGAAAGGAAGGAAAGGAAGGAAGGAAGAATATATATATAGATATAGATAGATAGTTAGAAAGGAAGAATATAGAGAAAGAAAGAATATAGATAAAAGAAAGAATATAGATAGAAAATAGAAAGAAAAAGAAAGAATATAGATAGAAAATAGAAAGAAAAAGAGAGAATATAGATGGAAAGAAAGAAAAAGAAAGAAGATAGAAAGAAAGAATATAGAGATAGAAAAAAAGAGAAAGAATAGAGCTAGATAGATAGAAAATAGATAGAAAGAATATAAGATAGAGGAAGGAATGAAGGAAGAATGAATGAATGAATGAATGAATGAAAGAAAGAAAGAAAGAAGAAAGAAGAAAGGAAAGGAAAGGAAAGGAAAGGAAAGGAAAGGAAAGGAAAGGAAAGGAAAGGAAAGGAAGAAAGAAAGAAAGAAAGAAAGAAAGAAAGAAAGAAAGAAAGAAAGAAAGAAAGAAAGAAAGAAGAAAGGAAAGGAAGGAAGGAAGAATATATATATATAGATAGATGGAATATAGATAGAAAGAAAGAATATAGATAAAAGAAAGAATATAGATAGAAAGTAGATAGAAAAAGAAAGAATATAGATGGAAAGAAAGAAAAAGAAAGGATAGATAGATAGAAAGAATATAGAGATAGAAAGAAAGAATATAAGATAGAGGAAGGAATGAATGAAAGAAAGAAAGAATGAATGAATGAATGAATGAATTCTGGGCATCATAACCCTAATCAGAGAGGTCACCTGCTCCTCTGCAAATTGCCTCTCTTCCTTGACCAAATTTGGTTGTCCAGGGCCTAAACCCCGCCGGCTGTTCCCTTCGTTGCCCGGTTCCTTCTAGATTTCCCCATGCAAAAGAAATGTCTCCACTTACGTGTCTCCATCTTCATCTTGCTGCGTTGCCGTGGCAATGTCCAAAGCCAGCTGGGTTTCTGCAGGGGGCATCAATGAATGAATGAATTCTGGGTAAGAAGGCAGGATTCCCAGCAGGGACGGTCTGGTCAAAGGTTGCAAAAGGGAAGGGAGTTCTGGATTCAAAAATGGGCTGGCCAGACCTGAGGATTCCAGAGGAGGAGAGGAGAGGAAAGGAGATGGCAATGAGAGAAGCGAAGATGGTTTGCTTGTTTATTTATTTCTGTTCCTGCCTTTATTATTTTTATAAATCACTCAAGGTGGTTGCACATATCCAACATACCTCCCTTCTCCTATTTTGACCTCAACAACAACCCTGTGGGCTGGGCTGAGAGAGAGGGACTGGGTTAAAGTCACCCAGTTGGCTTTCATGCCTAAGGTGGGACTAGAACTCACCATCTCCTGGTGATTGGCCCAAAGTCACCCAGCCAGGTTTCATGCCTAAGGCGGGATTAGAACTCACAGTCTCTTGGTGATTGGCCCAAAGTTATTCAATCAGCTTTCATGTCTAAGGTGGGACTAGAACTCACAATCTCCTGGTGATTTACCCAGTCACCTAGCTAGCTTCCATGCCTAAGGAGGGACTAGAACTCACCGTCTCCTGATAATTGGCCCAAAGCTACCCAACCAGCTTTCATGCCTAAGGTGGGACTAGAACTCACTGTCTCCTGGTAATTGGCCCAAAGACACCTAGCTGGCTTCCATGCCTAAGGTGGGACTAGAACTCACCATCTCCTGGTGATTTATCCAAAGTCACCTACTTGGCTTTCATGCCTAAGGTGGGACTAGAACTTACTGTCTCCTGGTGATTTACTCTACTAGGTGAATCTAGAACTCACCATCTCCTGGTGATTGGCCCAAAGTCCCCTAGTTGGCTTTCATACTTGAGGCATGACTAGAACTCACCATCTCCTGGTGATTGGCCCAAAGTCCCCTAGTTGGCTTTCATACTTGAGGCATGACTAGAACTCACCATCTCCTGGTGATTGGCCCAAAGTCACCCAGTCAGGATTTCATACCTAAGGCTGGGCTAGAACTCACAGCCTCCTGGTTTCTGGCCAGGTTTCTAAGGCGATCTTTGATTCCCTACATCCCAGAGAGGGAGCCAGCATCTAACTTGGTGTCTACGTTGGGGATATTCAGTGTAACGCAGAATGGAAGAAAACCTCATTACTATTCTACCTGTTTATGCACCTGGATAAAATACGGAGAATTAACAACTGCCCTGTTTAGCGACTTTTCGAACTGGTGTGAAAACAGCCTAATTAAGGAACCACCAAGAAACCCCCAACACTGACAAAGCCAGCCGTTTATATACATTATAAACAGAGAGCAAACCCCACTCTCTTCTAGGACTGATGATGTTACCTAGTAGGGTAATGAAATGTCTGTAAGAAAAAACGACCATGCTCAGAGAGCATCAGTGGCTCCGCAGTTCAACCCTGAGCTACAAATAGCCCCTTCTTTTGATGCTGGAAAGGTAGTTTTATGACCAGTCCTTGAACTTATGGGTGTCTCTCAATGATGGGAAAGCCAGCAGGAAGTTGCAAGTTTCTGCTCACATCATGCTTTAAGAACGGCAGGTGATTTGCTGAATCACCCCAGCAGAACTGAGGTCATAAAAGGGACGTGGCCAACGGGACATTTCACTTTTACGACCTTGGTCGCTCAGCGAGGACTGTGAGGAGAGATTGAGCTGTTGCAATGGAGGACCACCTCAGATGCTTTTCTTGATGTCATTTCATCTGGGGAAGGTCTTGCTTATGGTTCCCCCCCCCCCCCCCGACCCTAATATCCACCCCACAGGGACCCCCTGCCCCTCTTTCCCCCACCCCATCCCACCCCCAGGGCAGCCTGAGGAAGTGCTGTGGGCTCACGAGACACCTGAACTGCTGGCTGGTCGATAGCAACCTCTCACTTTTTAAAAAAAACAATAACATTTTTACAGGACAATCTCTTCGTCTGCCTCCCTCTCCCCCAACTCTCTCTCCCCTGTTTCTCTCTCCCCCCACTCTTCCTCTCTCTGTCTCCCACCCTCTCTCCTCTCTCCCACTTTCTCTCTCCCTCTTTTCCCCTTCCTCTCTCTCCCTCCTTTCTGTCTCTCTCTCCACCCTCTCCCTCTCTGTCTCCCCTCTTTCTCCCTTCCACTCTCCCCACTCCCTCTCTTCCTCCTCTCTCTCTCCCCCCTCTCTCCCCTTTCTCTCTCCCTCTGTCTCCCACCCTCTCTCTTCCTCTCCTCTCTCCTCCTTTCTCTCCCTCTCTTTTTCCCTCTCTCCCTCTCTACCCTCTCCCTGTCTCCCTCTCCCTCCGTGTCTCCCCCTTTCTCCCTCCCCCTCTCTCCACCACCTCTTCCCTTTTCTCTCTCCCTCTGTTTCTCCCCCCTCCCTCTCTCCCCCCCCTCCTCCTCCTCCTTCCAGCCTACTTCACAAGGAGATATTGGGGGGGGAGGGGGCTACAATTAAAGCGAATCTCTCCCCCACTCATTTATTTACTTAACCTTCCTCCCACCCCAGGTCGGTTAAGAAAGAGCTAAGAAAAACCTAGGTTGGGGGTTGGGTGTGGGAGGGTTCTCTTCCTCTCTCTTAATGGTTCTTTATATAGTCTGGGCTATCCTCCTTCCCTGTCGAGGTCTCTTATCTTGAATTGTTTTAGTTTTCCTAGCATTTATGCTAAGCCACCCCCGAGCCTGCTGGAGCAGGGAGGCTACCACAGGTTGCATGAAATAACATACATAGATTGGACCTGTGGTACCAGAAGAAAGGGAAGCTGCCCTAAATCATTGGGGGGGGGGGTGTTGTGAGATGCGGGGGGAACACAGAAGAAGGAAACTGGCAGGGACGCATAAAAATTAGGGGGACCAGGGAAGGAAGGAAGGAAGAAGAAGAGAAGGTTTTCGTTTCAAAGAGGTGCTGAGCCCTTACCTGAATAATAGGACACCGATACCCTGGGGTAGGGCATGGAGACATAACAAGGGAGGCGGTAGCCGTTGCAGTGGGGCGACTGGGATCCATTCCCCTCCAGCTCACTCTCCGTCTTGGGCACCTTGCCCGCCAGAGGTCCCGGCGCGTCCTCGTTCGCTCCCTCCATGGCGTAACGGCGTTTCCTCAGAGGTAAATACATCTCGGGCTTCTTTTCCTCGGGCAGCCCACCTTTGGGGGTCGCAGCCGCGTCTTGAGTCCTGGGCCGGGGTCCAGGCTGACCCAGCGAAGCCTCCCTGGCTACGGGTTCCCGGGGCACCGTGGCTCCTCCCGCGGTCGTAGCCCCCCAGCGGGGCGCCTGGTGGCCCGCCGAGGGGACGAGAGGAGGGTCTCCGTGCGAAGGGGGTGGCTTGTCTTGGCCCCCCTCTTTCCGCCAGGTGCGCAGGTCCACAGGAAACTCCCCGGCCATCTTCCTTGGATGCCCGGGTTCAAAGAGGGGAGCTGCCGTTTTACCTGTCCCAGGTTCCTTCGGCTTTTTCTTTTTCTTTCAAGAGAGGTTCCTCCTCTTGGAGGCGGGGGGGGGAGGGGGGATTTAGGGAGGTGGGGTGGGGGAGCAGACGCCTCAACCCCCCATCTTTGCAAGGACAAATTCTCTTTTACTCCGGGCGCCCCCTTCCTTCCCCCCCACAAAAAAACTCTGCCAAGCAACCCCGTGCACGGTTTTCAGCTGATGGGAAGAAGGAGAAGGAGAAGAAGAAGGGGGCAGCGGCGTCCTCCTTCTCCGAGCATCGCGGGCTCGGTGTCCAACTACGACCCCATTCGGTGGGGTGGGATGGGGGGGGGGGTTGTCTGCTGATTCCCTAGGGGCCTCCCCGCCTCCAAGAAGCCATGCGGCCACCCCCAAGCCCCCTTTCCCAGCGAGAGTGAGCGGCGTGCCGTGCGCCTTTCCCCCGGGGGAGCCTCTTCTCCGGTGGATCCCGGATTTGCAGATGAAGCGGGGGGTGGGTGGGTGGAGGGCTCGAATGCTTCCTCCAAGCTTGCCCCCCTCCACCTCGTTGGATCCCTCGCCCGGATTCCTGCGAAGGGAGTCACCCGTCCAACGCCTCCCGACCGTCTCGCCTCTGCCTTTGCCAAGTCATCCTTTCGTTTGCTTTCTCGGGCTGGAAGGAGGGAGAGAGGTGGGAAAGGAGGGCGCGGGTGGTGGGGGGGACGGGCTGTGTGCAGAAGTTTCCCCCCCCCCTCCCCGGTAGGAGGGTCGGTGGGCCGAGCTGGGGTCTCCCTGGGTCGCCCACACGAGCCGATCCCCGGGCGGCTGCGGCTGTGACACCGGCTTCGCCCAGCCTGGGAGGTGGAGGAAGGAAGCTGGGACTTCCCCGGTGGCTCAGCTGAATAGAGAGGGACTTTCACGGAGTGGCTCTTACCGGCCTCCCTTCCCCGGGGGAGTTCCGCCTCCAACCCCTCCTCCTCCTCTTCCTCCTCCTCCTCCTGGCCGCCTGCCTCGGCCCTTTCCCGGCGGCTTCCAGAGCCGAGGGAAGCCCCAGCCCGGGCGCCCGGGGGTGCGTGGCTCAAGGCTGCCAGGTGTGCCCGGGCGCCTCGCCAACTCCAGGTAGGGCAGAGGCGGTGGCGGCGGCGAGGCTCGTCCTAGGAGCCTGCGTGGACTTTTGTCCCCGTTTAACGGTGCCTGCCCTCCTCGCCCACACACCTACCCACCTCCTTCCCGGGACACTGGCAACAAAGCGGGGCACGAAGCAGCTTGCAAGCAGTCCGGGGAGTGGAGGTGGAGGTGTGTGTGCGTGGTGGTGGTGGGGTGTTAGGTAGGTGGGCTCCGGCTGCTCCACCTGGGGAGGTGCAGGCGAGCTTCACCTGCCGAGGGTCGCGCCGGCTTCCTCCCGGGAGGTGTTACAAGTCCCGAGACTGGACGATCGCGTCCTTCGGAGATAAGGAAGCGGGAGGAGGGTGCCTCCGTACGTGTGTGGTTGTGTTTGCGTGGGTGGGTGGGTGCGCTGGGTTCAGTTAAACCGCCCAGCACGTTTGCAAGTCGAGGGTTGTTGCAACGTGGAAGCTGTGAGCTGCAAACTTTGGGGGGGGGGGGGGGGGGGGGAAACCCTTTCCAACATTAATTAATTAGTTAATTATTCCTATTTCCCTTAATTTATATTATTTATTTATTTATTTATTTATTTGCTTATATATACTTATTTATTTATACTTATTTACTTATTTATTTATACTTGTTTGTTTATTCTTATTTCCCTATTTATTTATACTTATTTATTTATTTATATTTATTTATTTACTTGTGTATACTTATTTATTTATTTATATTTATTTATTTACTTGTATACTTATTTACCTATTTATACTTATTTACTTGTTTATTTATACTTGCTTGCTTACTTATTTATTCATTTCTTTACTTATATTTATTTACTTCTTCATCCATTGATTGACTCATTCGTGCACGCATCCCCTTCCTGCCATTCTCGCCCCTTTCGCAGCCCTTCCCCGGGGCCGGCCGGAGGCGAGATCTGCCACGGGGGGGGGGAGAGGAACGCGTGGGAATCTGCTCTTTTCCCTTCCCCAGATCCTGGAAGGGCTGTGCGTGTGTGTTGGGGGTGGGAAAAGGCGAGAGGAGGACCCGGTGTAGATCCTCGCCAACGGATGCCAGGGCCGTCCGGTTCTTTCCGGGGAGGGGAAGGGGGAGGGATCGCGCGATGCTGCAAATGACGTGCGGCTGGCGGGGGGGGGGGGGGGGGGGGGGGAAAGGCGGGGCGCGGAGAACGGGATTCCCCCCCGCCAGAACCGGATTAAAGGTGGGGGTGGCGCTGCCTCTGGTGGTTTTGGAATCGGGCCCCCTGGTGGCTGAGGAAGGAGTAACAGGCCATGGATTGGGGGAGGGGGAGGGGGGGAGAGTCCTGGGATTTCGAGCCCGTTTATAGGGGCTACAGGTAAGTTCTTGGCTTACAAGATACAACCATTCGTTTAGTTCACACTTACGACCGTTGCAGCATCCCTCCTCCTCCTCCTCCACTCCCTTCTAGCACTGATGAGGTTACCTAGTTTGGCAATGAAATGTCTGCAAGAAAACCACTAAGCTCAGAGAGCACCAAAGACCTCACAGTCCTCCTCCTCCTCCTCCTCCT